CTCAGTGCTATTTCGATTCGAACCAGTGTCCGCCCATCCCCATCAGTGATCCGAGACGCGGGCACTGATACGTGCATCAAAGCACAAAGCGCAATTTCTAAGTGGCTCGTGATTGGATCTGGCGGTCTGTAGCTTTTGCCTTTAGTCCATCCTATAGGGTGAGACGAAGTATGGTTATGTTACCTCAAAAGTAATGAGGTCCTTTTCTGTTACTCTGACGGCCAAGTGCACAACTGTTTTTCTTTTGTGGGTTATTGTTTTCTTTTCAGTAGTCGTTGCACTTAAGCAGTAGCAGCCTTCCCAAGTTATCGTCAGTCATTTTCCCCGTTTCCATTGAAAATACATCTCCGGCGACGCTGAAGAGTCGTTCTACCGACGCGCTCGAAGGAATGGCAGTGTTGTGCTCTCTGCTTCTAAAGTTCCAAGTTGACAATGGGATGTATACCTTTCCATGTTGGCAACCTGCGGGTTTACATTTGCTCTGTACACGATTTTAGAAAGGTTCAACCAACGTACACATCGCGACACTGTTAGCGCGAACAGGACATCGCCGCATTTTCGCATTTTACTTCAAAATAGTATTAGCGAGCACGAACTTTTATCGCTTACATTATAGAACTAAATGAGCCCTTTCCGTGGCAATAATAACTTGGATGACATCTCTTGGTAAGAAACCTTACAAGAAAGACTGAATCAGTACTTCACCGAATCAGGCTGGGCGTTGCATTTACATATAAATATCTCCACTGTATTGGGAAAATACCTTCTGCAAACTGCTTGATATGTGAAGAAGTGGAGTCACTGGACCACCTGTTATGCACTTTCTCAATTTATGACGTGGAAAGAGAGGTGCTTACTGAAGAACTTTCCCAGCTGGACTCCCGACCGTTCTCTCTCCAGAAGATCTTAGGAGCTTGGGAGAGCCCAGAAAAGCTGGCTGATGCGACCAAATACCTACTACGTTTCTTACGTGATACCCAACTTATTTGCCGTCTTTAAGGAGCAGATATGGAGCTCCACGTTATTTTGATGTGTTTTTATTAATTTCCTCTTCTTGGCCCTTCTTTGGCATCCCCTATTCCCCTTCCCCAGCACAGAGAAACCGGTTAATGCAAACTGCATGGAGTGACCTCTCTGTCTTTCTAAATAAACCTCTTCTTCTTCTCCTCTTGGTTTCAAAGAGGAAAAACTGGAAAAAACGGCGATCACTTGTTCGCGTTAACAGTGTCGCGCTCTCTACCTTATTTTGTTCGCTGGGTGAAGGACATTTCCAGCTGAAGAGTTCGACTGTCTTCTTCAGCGATGAACGTTGTTATACTCTCATTCTGTTTAGCTGTTTTTCGCGTTGCCAATCAGCCGAGACACATACTCAGGTTAGAAATGAAACGAAGTTGTTTAAAAGGCGTTTTACATGTTACTCCTCAAAAGTAACGAATTACCGTTACTCAATACTTGGCCTGAAAAACAAACAAACAAAGTACGTTACTCGTTCCTTTTCTAAAAAAAGTAAGTAAATACGTCACTCATTACCAAAAAAGTAATTAGGTAGAAGTAACTCGTTACCAGTAATGCGTTGCTTACATATCTGCTAGAGAGCGTATTTTCAACTTCTTTTGTACCCAGACATTACGTATTTTAGTGGTCCAGGTGTCATTAGTATCCGCTACGGGTTCAGCCTCACGTTTTGTGAGAGTGCTCGTCGCGTAATCAGCTTCTTTTTAATAAGCTCTTTAATTATATATAAACTAAACATATTTCTTATACAGGTACAAGCCAAATAGCAGCAACTTCGAACTACTGTCCTTATTGAGATAAGCAAAATTTCTAGATTGCTCAGTTACACTTAAATTTACGATCGAAGCAGAATGTTCACCGTATCGCCCATTGTCCGTGTTTGTATTCGATAAAATGATCATACGATATGAACGACGATACCCTCAGACCTTACCTCGAACCAGCTGTGATCTTTGAGGCTTGTAGTCCAGCAAGGGTTCCGAAATGCTAGCCAACTAAAATGCCCCTCCTCCACCCGGCTCATCCTTTTTTGTCGGCGGTTCACTGAGCGGCGGCACCGTTGTCCGTCGGTGTATCTTCATTCTCTGTGACATATATGAAATGGAAAGGTAAGAACAAGGAGGCAGTTGGATCAAGCAAACAAACCTGCCAACACGCGTTCAAAGAAAAGAAATGGTTGCTTAGGCAATTTTAACTACAACCCGAAGGATAAGTGTCAAACTACAAGTAAATGTTGGTTCGTTCGTTGTTGGTACTTTGGTCCTGCCAAGTTTTGCAGGCCGATGGTCTTTGAAGTTCTCAGGAGGCGATGGAGACTTTGCGAGTTCTTTGGCGAACCAATTTATTTTACAAACTATGTACATCTGTACAAAGTAGGGGAAGTTGGCATACTCGGATCGAACAGGTCTAACAGATCTCCAAATCAGTCCAAAATCGACCTCCCTCGCCCCGTCCGGGGCTTTTGAAGGCTCTCACTCCCTCACCCTCAGGGGAGTCTTAACCAATGGTTTCAAACTTTTTCGAAGTCACGGGGCGTCAGCCCTCCAATGGTCAGCTGGGGGCCGACCCGGCCGTTCATCAAGTTTGCAACGGCCACGGCCACGGCTGACAGCTCCGTAACATTGGCACAGCCTTGGGTTCCAGACAGAGTGGCGCCGCACCAGAGCTCCTGGCCCGAAACTCGATCGTCGCCAGCGTACCCTGTGGGACGCTGGAGCACACAAGAAAACGCGCGCACACACAAAACAAAACGTCCCCTTCGCGGAAGAGACAACGTCTTCGCCGCGGGGTGCCTGCTCGAGAGGACCGCGGTCACCCGTCGAAAGTAAAGAAAACAACGACAGCCAGGGTGCGTCCGCTTCCCCTCTTCCCCACACCCCCGCGCGGCCGTAATGAGGACCACCCGGTGAGGGGGTCCCTCGCGACTCCTTTGCACTACAGATGGCGGGTTTAAATTCCGGCCAATGTGCTCGCTAGATCTGAAGAAGGGCTATTGAGTGGTACGCCCCGTGTAACCGAAATGTGGCTTGCACGTAAAAAATCTCGGTGGACTCCAAGGGCTCGGTGAAACTAGTTCAGGAATATTGATGTGTATTATTTATTTTTATATCATTAGAATGTCCACAAGAAGGTGCTCCCGGTGTTGTTTTTTCGCAAGGCACTTAATAGAAGTACACCAGTAAAGCTGTTTTAACGAAATCAAGCATAGTTGGCCGGAGTGTTTTTGAAAGTTTGCACAAAGGAAGAAGTAAATTCCGCCTGGGACTGAATAAAAAATAACTCCGTTTGAGTTTGAAATATTGATGTAATAAAAGCGTAATTTCACAATAGGGGTGGCCTGTAGGTTCCATACATGTTTTGGCTTAGTGTTATTAAGAAAATGAAGAATAAGCATTGCTCGCGGACATGCCAAACAGGTACTACATATTGCTAACAACATTTTTATACTCCGAAAGCGTCACGGGTTTGGGCACGTCATCGGTCGACGCTCCAACCGCTGACAAAGGTCCAACTGTACCACAGATGACAAAAATCATTAGTGTGTTAGTGACAAAGGCCACCGATGACTTTTGTCAAAATTGGTGCTCGAACTGAAGTCAAATAGTACTGGCTGAAACATCACTAACCTATTATAAAAAAAACAAAACAAAAGAAAACATGTCTGTGAACCATTGGTGCTTTAGAAGAGTGCAGGGATCGCAGAGGAAGTAGCTTTTGTAATGTCAGCTAGTATAGCGCTGACTCTTGGTTTACGCTCTGGTACGAATTCACCAAGTACCCTCATACGCGACAGGTCTAAACGAGCCACCGAGGATACAGCTGCCACAAACTACGACCCTTTTTGTTTTCAGTTTTTCTATTTATGTTAACCTTACATCCGGATGCTGTCTGGAGATGTCTGTCTCGTAAGGGTCGTTCTCGATGTTGAACAAGCAGACAGACATCAAACAGGGGTCTGCAGGCAGTTCGGTTGTTGTTGTCGCAAGTGATATGCAGTACCTTCAGAGTTCTGTTCCGGTAGGGGCCTTTCCAAGGTATGGATTGCATGGGAGGCGGCGCAGTTGGTGTTGAAGAACTTAATCTTGAAGACGATTAGCCCTATAGAAAAAACAAAACAAAAAAACATTACACACCCGGTAGCCTCGGACTTGTACATCAGCTATTGTCTTAAAGGAACATTGGACACATAATTACGGCGGATACACCCAGCAGAGATACAAGATACTGTTGAAGTTATAAAATATAATCCAAATAGATGTTATTTTTGCCCCCGTGAATTGAATGATATGTGCATATACTAGTCGACATAAAAAAAGGGTAATGAAGGATTGTGTTCCTGCCGAGTCATGTACACATTTCCTTGAGACTGGCCGGCTCGACAGTGTGATTTGTATATAAATATACATGATGCAAATAAAACTATTTGATTTTATCATAATTTCAACCTAAAACATGGCGACGTCTACAGCGCATGTTGTTCTTTTTTTCTGTCCCTCGTTTCATGACTTTGAGTACCCAAATATGATACTCTTACCTGCTCTGCCGCTTTCTTGCTCTGATGTCTTTACAAAAATATGATTTATCTCCCCGCCTACTTTAAGAGCCTAAGTAAACATAAAAAATAAGTATTTTCTTCTAACCTTGTGCAACTCTCGGAGTGTTCATGATTCCTACTTAAGGCGGAGCATCGGAAATCCTGAAGGTTGTTCGTTGTTACCGAAGAATGAAGTCTTCCATGCGACAATGAGCATGGCATTCTACATGCTCACGTCATATGTGTCAGTGTCACGGTATAAACCTAAATTCTCTGCCAAGTTTTATTTCCCCTGCACTAGTCGTCGAATGACCCTTGGAATGCTGTGCGAAAAAGACTGATTGACATTACTATAGTAGAGTAAGATCCGCCATCCTACCTCATCCTGCTCCTCTTGACGGGCAGCGGCAAGCCGGCGTCCGGGGCCTTGTACCAGTTGTCGAAGGAGTACCGCCCCCGTACGAGTCCTGCACGCACTTGTAGTTGCCGTAGCGGAGCGCCCACATGTTCCAGATGGGATCGATGCTGGGCAGCACCTCGGAGCGAGGTGACACTGTGTCCTTGACGAGGCTGGCCCACATGTCGACGCCGTCGATGGCGTCCAGGTCGCTCACCGAGCCGCTGGATTAGCCCCCGCCATGGATGTCAAGTTCAGAAATGCGCGGGGATAGAGAAATGGGTCCATCTCGAATTCCTATCGCAGATTTGCACTTTCGTAGCGGTGGCGTTTCTAACAGTTCGTGTCACGACATCCGTAACACAACCTCGGTGCTTTCTTTCTTCATATTTTGCTCGGGTCACGTTTTGATGAGCCCTACATCTTACCGCTTAGAATAAACACAGGGAATTTGTGCATTCCTCAGCAGTATACTGCTTATAGTAGCCTTTAAATTTCAAGACGAAAACAAAAAAAACCGGCACTGGTTTGATCGTAATGACTGTGTCAATATCTGTACAGTGCTTGAAACAACGGAGCATACGCTATGCTGGTAAAGGACGGAAAACCCTGGCAGGGTTGACTACTTCAAGCTGAAGGGTGGAAGCGAGTACGGAGAAACAAAGCAAAAGAAAATTAAACGCCAGTTGTTTAATATACGGCGACACCGATTCACACTTTAGTTGAGCATTTTGTTGTAAGGTCTGTCTTCTTCTGGTTCCTTGTTAACAATGCTTTTATATACCTTTTTGGTTTGCACAAAAAGAAGAAAACTTGTTCAAAAAGCTGCCGTTGCTACTTGACGAGTTCCTGTCTTCCTGGCTCACTATGGCTGGAAGACGACACCGTAAACAAAACAAACAAACAAACATCAAACGGGGTTACTGCAACTCACAGCTTGCCCTGTGACAACGAGATGATAAATGGATCGGTTCCGTCGTCATGAACTGTCCATCGACTATAGTGTTGACAGTATTAAGAAGCATAAGCGCGAAACTTCTACTCAAAGAATTTGGTGAAGAACCCGCTGTTGTGTACAGGGTTCACCTTGCGGAAGGCAAGCCCCTGACAAAAATCATTGGCGTATTCTGGGGCACAAATTTCCCCTCGACTGGGATAGTGAACGTGAATTTCCCCAGATTCAAAGTCCCAGCGCAAATTATATATTTGAGATATAACACCATTTTGGTCTCGTCATTAGAGTGTCTGTACTTCAATATATCCTCTATATTTTTTTGCGTTCTCTTTTTCTTCTTCTCTCAGAGCTGACGGCCTCACAGTACACACACTAGTGTAGCGGAATGATAATAAGGGGCAGAAACTTGGGTGATAAAGCTCGACGTTCGAGGGTAAAGCGAGAAGAAGCTCCGGATTTCGTGTTCCCGTTAACCATGGGAAGTTTCAGTCGACCGTTCTAATAACCTCCATAACAACGCCCGATAACGATACGGTGCGTGCAGAAGGGCGCAGGAGGGGTATCAATAATCGTTATTAGAGATATCGACACCATCTACTAAAACCCCTTTACTGCATTGAGCATGTGCGGGAATGTAGGCAGGAAGAATTTTAGGGGCGAAGCTCCTTAGGGGCTAGCCATGTCCGTATGTCCGTCCGCCGTCCGGCGTGCCCCTGCTCGTGAGACCACGAGCAGGAGCTGACGAGCTCCTGCTCGTAAGTTTAGCAGCGAGAGCAAGAAAAAAAAAAAAAGAAGAAAAAAAAAGAAAAAGAAAAAAAAATAGGGGGCTCTGAGATGTCATCCCATCTGTCTTCTTACAAAAAGAAAAAGAAGAAAACCACACATTCTCCTACTGACATGAACGAAACGGCACCATCAGCACTACCTATGACCAAAATCAGTATCATCAGCACCACCCGAGCTTCGCCTCAATCAACATCATTCACCACGTGGAGATGCGGTAATTTTTTTCAGGAGCTGGGCGATATCAAATTCTCGACGTTAAACGAGCCTTTAAACGGCGCGGAAGACGCCAAATATGTCGACACTCCCGCTAATCTCGTTTTCGATTTTATCTGCACGAGGTAATCGCCACCTTAGTCCCGGTCGGTCCCTCCTGAAAGCCTAGCCCACTTAGTTTGAATCTGTTCTATGCACTTTCTCCGGATCACCCGCGATACGCTCGTTGTTTGCAAACAAAAGTGGAGGGAGCGTGCTGGTGCAATCGTGCAGATTGGGACACGGGATCCTATAGGAACCAGCGGCGGCAGAGAGGATTGCTTCGATCAAGATCTGGGTTTAGCGCTACACCAAACGTGATGGGCATATAGGTTGCGTCACGGTAACGGCTGTCTATCTGGTACACGCGCCTCGGGATCACAGGCTATCGGACCATTCCGTGACAACGCCGCTTCGGTTCTCTTCTTTGCTCTGGAGCACGTCAAAGAGGGTCCCTGCATGTTCAAGTTTGTCGGCATTGGCACCGGTACTCCACGGCCATCTCAAACCATGCTTTTAATGCGATAACGTTTGGGAGCTCGTGTCTCAAATCTCATATTGCAGTGCGCGCAGCCACGTGTGACGTCACACGTGACGTCACACGTGGTTGTGACGTCATGACCCTATCGACCAGCTAAATTTGGCGAGAAGTTTTTCCCTCCAAATTTAGCGGGAAATCTACTCGCCATATTTGGAGGATAATTCGAATGAAAACACGTGACGCCATGTGATGTCACGTGACACGTGACGCTACCGAATAGACCACGCACACAGGCTTGCACAGCTTGGGAACGAGCGCGGGTTAGACGAGAAGGGTCTGCGAACGGGGCCCGACAACGCCATATCGCTTCCACTCTTAAAGGCGAAGTTTTATACTTCATGTCACTAATTGTGTGCAGTGCAGGCGCAAGCAACGCCAGTGGAAGAGAGGAAGGGTGAGAACTAGGAAGGTGCGACGTGAGAGGAGGGCGATGGAGGGCGAGGGGAGAAAGGGAGAGCACTAGAACCGTTAGAGAGGAGAGGAGGTTTCTCTCCTCCTGCCCAATTTTACTGGTGCTTGACCTTTCTCCCCTCCCTCGCCTGGCATTGCCTTCGCCTGCACTGCACGTTACTAGTGACACAGAGAATAGAGCGCAACTCGTAGGCGCTCGTTTTTGGCTTGTGCGGCATCGCCGTCGCCGTTGGCGTAACCGCGCGTTGCATTATGGGACGTTTCCCATAATGATGTCACACGTGACGTCATGAAGGTCATGAGTGACGTCACACGGCGCCTAAATATGACAGAAATTGTTTTTTACAAAATTTAGCGAGAACATTTTTCCAGCGGGGAATTTTTTTTTTTTTTCACTAAATTGAACGGGGAATTTTTTCCACTAACTTCAGCGGGGGTAATTTTTCCGCTAAACTTAGCGGGGAAATTTTTTCACCAAATGTAGTGGAGAAATTTTTCCGCTATATTTAGCGGTGAAATGTTTCCGCCATATGTGGCGGAAACATTTTTCCGCCAAATTTAGCGGGGATAATTTTCCCGCTAAACTTAGCGGGGAAATGTTTCCGCCGAATGTATACTGGAGAAATTTTTCCGCCGAATGTATACTGGAGAAATTTTTCCGCCAAATCTACCGGGGGTAATTTTCCCGCTAAACCTAGAGGGGTAATTTTTCTGCCACATGTAGAGGATACATTTTTCCGCTAAATTTAGCAGGGAAATTTTTCCGCGAAATTTAGCGGGGAAATTTTTCCGGTCCATTCTCCCTCCGTACCCTTTCCTCCTCCTCCTCAAGAGCTGCGCTCGAATTCAAAATTACAGTGAATTGTAAACGTCTTTAATTTTTTTTCTGCACTTTTCTCATCGCGTGTTGCTGGTTGCCACAAAAGAATTGCCAGATTACAGTACTGATGCGCTTTTGAGGCTGCTTGATCGGTGCCATAGGATCGTAGCCGGGACAGCCTGAATAATGCACTTTTGTTTCAAGGTACCATCAGTGTTGGCGGTAGCGCACTACAAGTGACGGCGTTACCCATACGTGTTACTTTTTTTCAATGACTTAGTAACGTAATCGTTACATTTTAAGAACAGTAACGAGTAACGTACATACTTGCGTCACTTATTTCGCGTAACGGGTGACGTAGGCTGTGTTCCAAATTTTACCCTAGTAACCTGCCTCCTACGTCAGACGGAAATACCATGTGATATCGCGCGTAAACGATCCGCGACTCGAGTTTGGAACGACCGGGATAATAACCTGGATACTACGCGGATTGGCTTCGTCTTAGGCTACGGCAAAAAGAAAACAGCAGCGGTGGCAGAAAATAGCAGACGATCCTTTTGATCACAAAGAAAGCACTCGAAGAGGCGATAATATTAATGACGACGCGTTTTGTTTTCTTTTTTGGTGGATCCACCAGCTCCTTTTACTCACCTTCCTTTTGAGCTGTATATTGAGATAAAAATTACCTACTCCTTACAGTTAGATGTTAAAAAATGTGTTTTTATTAATCAGCGCGATTGCCCTAAACGAATATATTCCACGCATTGTAATTTGCACCGATTATGTTTTGCAGAAATTGATTCCACACGGTGTAGTGATACAGCGCGAGGGTGCTTTCTAAAAAATGACATGAAACTGACGTTCGCCTTGACGCGAATATGATTACAATAAAATCATCGAAGTCTTCACAGCTCTACAAGCGTTATCCTCTCATTACACACACTCTGGATGAAACAAAAATACTACCTTATCATTTACTGCGTGAAACATTTTCAGCCTTGAACGTGAGAATACGCCATTCCCTCCAACGTCCATGACGAGATATGCGGAGAAGCTCCTGTTTACGCTCGCACTCTGATAATAACAAGTATAACTTCCCGGGGAAGGTGCACGGTCCGGATGTAATGCAGTCAATTCGGGCGTTGAAAACAGCAAATCGCAATAACCACACATGCTGCACCTATTCTTTGTCATTTCGAACGTCCGCCACCAAAATTAACGGAGCAAGCGAGCTTTGACGGCTGTCGGCGCAGAAAGCAGACGACGAGCAGATCACGTGACGTATTTACTCGATTTGATCCAACGTTACCCCCCGATCGAGGAGGGTAGCGCGAGTAATTACTCCGGAGTAAACAACCCGCTTCCGGAACGCGAGTTGTGACGTCATCGAGTAAGCTCGAGTAAGTTTTGGAACGCCAC